ACAGGTAGATTGATGCCTATATCCTCATACTGAGATTTTAAAGATGGCATATCTATAAGGAAGTGTGCCTTTGATCAAATTTGCAGGATCTTATGTCATACAACATTGTGTATAAAAATATATCACTATAGTATTCTATACGCATGGCGTCTTGTTCGAACAAAATCATTTTTCATTAGGCACTTCCATGACATGACTCCAAGACCAGAATACTGATCACTATAGTAAATTAATACTGGGTGCAAGTGGGTCAAGGAGCCAACTTAAATTGTGATAGGTCATACAGATAGGTCATTTTGCTCGGTCAGCATCAACTTTACACTGGATCTGGTCAGTGTAAAGCACTCTCTTCCTGTCAAGAAATGTGAAACAAATCACTTGTAGCACCAATTTTATTTCATGATTTCAGCAATTAAGAGTTCTGAAGGGGTTTTATCGTTGAGCTACATCAGCTCAGAATTTATTATGGCAGTTGAGCCTGGAGCTGAGATTTAAAAACAATGTGGCTATACAGAAACTTCACCCTCATTTCAACAATTGGGCTCTCTGTTAATGCGGCTACATACTTTGAATTCCTTTAGGTTCAGTTGGTGCCAGGCACAGACTGAAACAGCCTGTCCTTCCTCTGGCTACAAAGAGCAACTGGCCAGAAGGTCTTTCCAGAAGGTCAGCTGTGATGAAGTGAACCCGCCCACACCTTTTGCCACTTAACAGAAGTGTGATGCAGCAGGCATCAATGTGCAGCATGTGATATTTGTGTTCTCAGAAATTGTGGAGGGAATGGTAACAGGTGCAGTTGCAAAGACCACTACATGTAATATTTGATCACACTGGCTAAAAGACAATCCTAGGCTAGATTTGAGAATGCCACCCGAACCATCTCCATAACAAGGAAGTGCCTGAGGAGATACTTCTGGCTGTTTGAAATGAACCTATTGATCCATAAAATGCTAAAAAAGCTGGGGGGGGGGGAGATAGCTGGGAAAAAATGAAGAATAGCATGACACTAGGAGAAATTCTTCGCAGAACATGAACTACAGAGAGGATTTGACAAATTATTGGCAGATACATTTATCAAAATAACTTTTTTACAGTGACTTTATTTTTCCTCCTCCATGACAGACAGCGGGCTTGTTAACACTAATTGCTGGGAAGAATGCTGTTATCCTCATGAACTTTCAACAACATCTAGTTCAGTGTTTCTCAACCTTGGTGACTTTAAGTCCTGTGGACTTCAACTCCCAGAATCCCCCAGCCAGCTGACTGGGGAATAATGGGAGTTGAAGTCCACAGGACTTAAAGTAGCCAAGGTTGAGAAACACTGATCTAGTTGGTCACCATGGGGACAGAAATGTGGATTTAGTAATCCTATTGTCTGATGCGAATAGTGATTCTTATTTTTGAACATTGAACACGGTGCATGGTCAATAGCTTTTAATAAAAGTGGTCCAATAACATTATATCAAGTCTTATTTATCCTCGAGGCAATTTGGGATTATAACAATTCATATTATTTTTAAAAAATGATAAAATGGACTGAAAAATAGTGGCTAGCCAAAAATCACCTATAAAGGTTTGTGGCTGAGCTGAATTTAAATTTAAGTTCAAAGTTCTATCCACTATGACATAATCAATGCTACAACGTATACCTATAAAAGTGTATCAGTGACAAAAATGCTGCAAACAATTGAAAAATGTATTTTGCTGCACATTTTGAATCAGGAGATCATACACAACCAAACCTCTCCTAAAGCCTTTGCCCGCCAATATAACTTTCTTTCTACACAAGTGGGAGGATAAAGATCTTTTACAAAATGGCTAAAAACTGCATTTCAATTACTGAAGAATTCCACTGAACAATTCAATCACTTCTATATAAACACATATAAAATCAGGCTTTTTACTTGCAAGCAAACACATACAAGACCAGGCTTCAAATTCCTTTTTATTATAATTTCTATTGAAGATTTTAATTACTGTAATACAAACTAATACAAACTAAAGTCAAAGCGAGAGAAAGGAAATAACAGAAAGTGAAAAGTGCAAAGAAAAAAAGAAAAATGAAGGGTGAAAGAAGAAAATAAACCAAGAAGTAACTTCCAATCTTCACAAGTATAAATGAGTTTAGTAGGTCTTTATTACCCTATAAGATTACAAACAGGTATCTCTTCTTCCCATGACCCATTATTTATAAGCAAATGTACAGTATAAGACATCAACTTTTCAATCCTAGTGTCAGTAAAAAAATCCATAAACGGTTGCCAGAATTTCATAAAAACATACCATTTTAAACATGATCAAATAAATCAGCTTTATATTTCTTCATTTTACTTCTGAAAATCTGAATCTTTAATTCATTCAAATATTGTTGTAGGATGTGATTTCCAAATCTTCTTTGTTCCCCTCATGGGCCTCTTGACACTTGAACTAGCCTCTTTTGTAAATCCATTAAGACATTATCCAGCTATTCTCTAATTTGTTATTTGCATTTCCCCTTTAATTTTTAAAACTTGTCCAGATAATCAAATTGAAAAAGGGGTTTTCTTTTTGTCTTCAATCTTTAGTCCCCTCTAGTTTCCAAATTAAATCTAATTTCTTATGTCTGTTATGAGATAAGTCTTACAGTACATTGTCTTACAGTAGACAAAATAATTTTGGTTCTCACAAAAAGTTGTTTTATATAGTTCCAAAATCTTATAGTAAAAGTTTCAATATTCCAAATTTGTCTGTACCCTTAATTCATTTATAAGTTTCTTTGTTCCAAGTCTTAGCTTTTTGCAATTCATTTCAAATTTTTAAAGTTATAATTAGTTGTTCAGTAATGAAGACAGACTCACCAGGTGGCTTTTCAAACTTGTTTTTGGAAGATCATGAATAGGTTTAAGATAGTTAGCTAAGCAATTTCTGAAGTGATTAGAAATGAGGTTAGCAAACTTAGTGTTCTTTGAAAGATCCTGCCATCTGTGAGTTTGATTATTGATCCCTTCATCTGTTAGTACTCAAACTCATGGGAGACAAACTGTCCAGTGATCTCCTCATGAAGAGCAGCCATCTGCAGCACACATGGGTGATATCCTGTCTTACCAGTCCTTTGGTCATTGCCATGATCATCTGTGCTCTCCATGGAGACTTGTTTAGCTCACTATGTCTCTACCAGACGTCAACAGCAGGCTTCATATTCCATTGAAATATGTTCATCAAAGTATAGTTTTATAGTTCTAGAATATAGTTATTAGAACACTGCATTCCAATGCTGTTCGCGACAAAACAAGCTACTGAAAATTCAAGTCTTAAATATGTGTGGCTATATTAGACTGCAAAGGATAAAAAATTTCAATATTATTTTCTATCAGAGAATAGAATAGAATAAGAATAGAATAAAGAATAGAATAGCTTTATTTGCCAAGTGTGGTTAGACACACAAGGAATTTATCTCCAGTGCCAGAAGTTAGGAAATCATCAACTCCTATGATTGTCACATTTGTCTGCTGTTAACACTGTGTTTTTCTGTAGATAGAATCTCTAGCAAGGAAGAATGGCTCTACCTTTCCAATTCAATATTGTTACAGAAAGTAATGAGTATTCTTGTAGGCGCCACATGAATGCTACCAGAGGCCCATAATGTACTTTTTAGATCCTATATGAACAGCTGACAAAGTTTTCTTTTAGAACTACTCATTATAACATTTGAAAATCATGTTAGCATTTACAAAATCCTGAAAAATGTAATTTTTTTAAATTTGTGCATTCTTGTTAATACACAGAACTCCAGCTGACTAATTAACACCTGCAACAAGGATTTTTATGAAATGCTTTAGCTTTTCATCTTCATGTTTTAGCAAAGTGAGAACAATACATTTATTTTTCTATTATTGTTTTTCATGTTTTTTATCAGACAGTAAAACACAGATTCTCAAACTCTAAAGTGTGCCCGTTTTGTTACTTTGTGAACTTGTAATAGGAAAGGAACTTGCAGATTTTCAGTTTTTCTATGAACTCAGCACTTCCTCATATGCCTTTTCTAAGAAACAAACATTTCCCAAGAGGTATTAGCTAGCCTCACTGAGTGTACAATTGAAAGAATTGGCAGTTCTAATTTCATGTGCTTACCCTCACTAGGAAAGCTGGAAGGAGTCTGGCATGAACAAATGGCTGATATTTTTTAGCAATGTTGTTTCATTATTGTCAAAAGCGTTCCATAACATGTGCTATACTTAGTCACATACTGAAACCCCCTAACATTTCATCCAATGTAAGCAAACAGACCTTTAGGCAGCCCAATCCTAGTATGTTTTCTAAAACTACCAAGTTCAAGAGATTGATTTCCAATTTACATGGATGGGAATGTAGTCATAATTGCTTTTATTTCATATAAAAAGACTGAAGGTTTGCAGTATTTTTCAGTATGATTTTTAAAAGGGAGATAAATTTAATCCTAAAGGATAAGAAGGGTGCTATATGTCAACTTCACTCTGATTTTGTGCATTAAAAAAAAAACAAGACACATGGATATTGCCAAAAATTATGCGTGAGCATCTCCATGAGGTCACCAAGAGCTGAGCCTGATTTAGAGACTTCACCTTTCCTGTCCCAGTGCCTTACATTAAAAGAAAAAGAAAAAAAAACACATCATAAAAAATCTGGAAGATACTCTGAGGCATTCAATCTTAGAGGGATTAAATCTACAGTCTCACGGAAATCATTTGGACATGTAGCATTTTCTCGTTTCCTTTCTTTTAACAATGCAGGGCATTGTGGTTTTTCATTCTAAAGCTATAGGAGAAAGGGCAGGCTCACATTTTTGTGAAATCAGCATCAATACAGATCACATTTCAAAACAGAGGTGAAGACCTGTGCTTCAGTCCTGGCAAACACTCTGCTAGCTATCCAAAAACACTTCCAGTAGAATGAAAGTAGGAAGGCCCTACAACCAAGATATCAAAAGCAGCCAAAGATTAGCTATTTCTCCCTCAAAGGGACAAATGAACAAACTCCAGAGACACAAATAAATGTCATTTATTTAATTAGACCTTCTAGGTTTTTTTGTATGAGCACAGCCATCTGCTGTCCAAGAAAAAATTGCAGAGATTACAGAAAATTCCAAAATTCTTAGCTCATATTTCTTCCAGGCTTGCCCTCTTCAAAATAGGGCAAATAGCTGATGCAAGAAGAGTTTCAAGGTCTCTGGCCCATCTTCTTCAGGGTACGGTTCAACTGAAAGAGACAGACATCTAATTACAAGTTAACTGGGGGAGGGGGAGATAAATACCCACATAGTTAAGCACTTCAGTGTCATTGCCACAATTATACATTCTCCAAACAATTGTCTGCATCCTACCAAGAATGCTGACTGCAGCTGAATAAATCAAATCTNTAACAAGTAAGCCCAAAATTTCTGTTGCTAAGCAAGACAGTTGTTAAGTGATTTTTGCCCCATTTTACTACCTTTCCCCCCACAGTTATTAAGTGAATCTCTACAGTCATTAAATTAGTAATCCGGTTATTAAGTGGATCTGGCATCCCCCTTGAATTTGATTGTCAGGTCACAAAAGGTGATCACATAACCTCAGAACACTGCAGCCATCATAAATATGAGTCAGTTGCCAAGTGTATGAATTTTGTTCATGTAACCATGGGAATGCTGCAATGGTTGTAAGTATGAAAAATGGCCATAAGTCACTTTTTTCAGCGCTGTTGTAACTTCAAACAGTCACTAAATGGACTGATGTAAGTTGAGGACGACCTGTACTGCTCTATAGTATCTCTGAAGCACTGCAGGAAGCAGAGCACCTCCTTATTCAATCTTACTGAAGCATTTTAATCCTACAATTTTCAGAGAGATAGGCCTGTTAAGTTCCTTGCAGCAAACATAAGGAAGAGAAACAAGAGTACCAGTGGTGGGATATGACCAGTATGCCCTGGTACGGGCGTACTGGTGTCTGCTGGGAGCACCAGGTACAGTTCTGGTACGGTGCTCCGGAGTGCCCACCTGCCCTCCTTACTGGTATTTGAGCTGTTCGGGGCTTACGCGCATGGAGCCTACGGCGCCTGCTTCCACCAAACAGCTGGAACATTGCGGAGGCATCGTGGAGCATCACAGGCGGTAAGTACACATGTGCACGCTGCGTGCATGTTGCGCACGTTCATGTGGTGGACACCCAGCCCCGTTGCACTGTACCGGTTGCAACGGGATCCGGAACCCTCCACTGCAGAGTACCTTAAACTTGAGCAACAAGATGTTGTTATTTTATTCTATTTAAACCAATCTATGATTTTAAAAGCAAATGTATTCAGCATTTTTAACCCAAACTTGTTCATATATATTTTAAAATAGTTATCTTCAGCTAGCTGGCAAAAAAAAGAGAGGCAGAGATACACATTTTTCTCTGATTAAAAGGTACAATGTAACAATTTCACCATTGTAGAGATCTCCTATTACAGCCTTCCCCAACTCTGTACTTGACAGCAAGTAGCTGTCAAGGGAAATCATGGCAATCCTGTGTGAAATCACAGGGACTGTTTATTTTCAGCTCAAACAGAGCCCAAATTAGATGGGGCTATATCTACTGTATACAGATTACTGTTTTTCCCCATATTCGCTTGTTTATAATATACAATTTATATGATTTATTTGGAATCAAGGGAATAGTAGATTTATAGTAGGGGAATAGCAAGGGGAAAGTAGATTGGATATAAGGGGAGAAGCACAGCTAACAGTCACCAGAGAAGAAAAGAACTAATCTTGGAATATGCATTAATTTTCTAAATTATATTAGCGTTAAATATGGGTTATAGCTTGAAAAGTACCATTTTGTATGAAATGCAAAACTTGAACAGTAACAGATGGCTTAGTATTTAAATGCCTGAGAATATAAAAGCAACAGAAACTTTTAAAGAGACTCCACATCTCTTTTCAGTACAAAGAATAAAAGTAAGTTGGAAATCTCATCGTATCTGAGACATTCAACAGGCTCAACCTGACAACTATTGTTTAGAGAAAAAATATTTTGCAGAACATTTAGCATCCTACAAAGCAAAATCTATATATTTATATAATTATAGCTGTCCAGAACCATATTCATGAGATGGATGGTGATATAAATCCATGCAAATAAATAAATATTCCAGAAGGGAAATGTCCTCTTTAAAAAGTGCAATTTTAACACAAAAGTGGCTCTATTACCTTCTTGTTAAGCTCAATATTTTCCAGAACCTTGATGGCTTGATAATAATCACCCAGCAATGAATGGAGGCGCAGCAGGCCCACAAGGCTAAAATAGCCCAACATCTTATATAAAGAATGACGACCGTATTCTCCAGCAACACTCTCAGGATCACCTAAGGTGGGGAAAAAATTGAAACTATATATGTGAACTTTAATGCAACAGTGAATTAAAATGCAAATTTCAATCTGCCAGCTTGATTCCTGATCAGAATGAAACAGCTGAAGACATGATCAGAATGAAAATTGCTAGACCTTCCTCATGAATAAATTACTAGATAATTATTGATAATTGATCATGGAAAAGCCCACTCATTTAAAAATATTTATTTCCTTACCTCCACTGGTATAGACTTCCAGTTGCCTGTTGATGTTGGATTTGTCCACTATGGAATATAACACATTAAGAACACTGTGGACATTCCAGATCTTAGGATTTAACCTCAAGAAATCAATTTCTTCCTCAGATTTCTTCGCAGTCTTGCAGCGATACTGACTGTAGGACTGAAACTTTACAAGGATATAGAGAATGCAAGAGAAAATTAGGATGGTATTATTTTCCTCCTTGGATTTTTTTTATATAACCAGAATAAAAATGAAATGACTGAATAAATTGGAATTATCCAAAGACAAAAGGGAGAAAGGAAGAACAGTTCATCAATGAGTACCAATTTTATGTTGCATTTAGTTTGCAAAACCAAACTAAATACTATTTTACAAATGAAAATAGTAAAGTTTCCTCAGTGCTAATTAGAAACCAAATTGTAGCTCTAACAATTTGTAGGAGGAAAAGCAAATCATGTGAGAACCCTGAATAAAATTACAACTCATCATAAAAATATTATTCAAGTCACTAAAAATAGGCATATTTGTATCCAAAATATCTATAGTATATGTCAAACAGAGCTGGCACAAAACAGATTTTAAATTCTGTTGAGCACACAAAATTCCATACAAATTGCAATCTTATATACCTGTATAAAAATAAACCCTTCTTTCTATGCATATATATATATATATTTGGATATCTGCAGTGTTCCAAGACCCAAAAAGAAAAATATAAACATTCCAACCACAAAGCTGCTGGAAGTCTTACTGCTTTGGGAAGTTTTTTGCAAATTACTTGCATGCTTAGTATCTGATTCTAGTGATCTTTGTAGATTTTCATCAGTGTTAAAAAAGGCATGTGGAATAGATATAAGAGAACAATCCATTTTTATACCTGATATATAAATTCATCTATAATATCCCAGAGCCACTGATTGGGTAGTTCTAGAGGAGCTGGGCCATCTGCATCTAGAAAGGAACATTCAAATAGAATATATAGAATGAATAATACAAGACAAAGAGTCTATATGTCTTTGTTCTCTCCACATCTTACCGATAAAATAATTAAGAGGAGATCCTGGACTATTGACTGAGCAGTTCCAAAAACAAGTTAGAACCTAGCTTTATAGCATTATTAAACCATTGTGCATTGTGCGAAAACCCTTCATAATGTAATTTATTTACAAATTTGGGGTGGGGGTGGGGGGACACTATACATTGCTGCATTTTCTAACAGAATTACTTTTAATCCAAATTAGATCCCACCATTAGTTAACGAACACTGAATATTTACTAATTTAACAGCTTGCACTATTGCTTCTTGGTTTAATTTTACACGCTTGTATTGTTTTCTAGGCATTCTAAGTAAACACTATATCATAGCAGATCATTTCTTTAACAGAACGAAATGTAAAAAGGAAAAGAAAAAAACCAAACAGAGATGTAAAAAAATCAGAATAAAGAAAGGGATTTTTCTTTTAAAAAATGAAGATATACAGTACTAACAAAAGGAGTCAGAGAGCTTCAGAAGGCTTCTGGGAAAAACACATTTGGGAACAGAGTTATATATTAAGATGTTAAATTGAATAAATGCTAATATAAAAGATATATTCTTATTACCCCTTGTACAATACAAAGAATTATATAATTTTAAAGACTCACTAAGAATGTAGTTGAAGAGATTACAGTAATTGTAATAAGATTCAAATCTTTGTTCCAGGGTTGGGCCACCCTGCAATAAATGAAGAAAGAGTAAATAGTTGTCTGAATTTCTAAAATGAATGAATATATGGTCTCAGAATTCTTAGCAAACAGTGAACAAAAAATAAATGTATTTTTCACTAATGACAATCTAAACCTGATACTCACACTGACTTTAGCATAGATGTGTCTGTAATACAACTCCTTGTACAAAATCAGGAACACAGCATCTACAAGTAAAGAAAATGTATAAATTGTTGTGTTTGTATTTGCCTTTTCATTCAATTGGTTTTCAACTTTTCATACAAGTGAAAATAATAAAATATATCAGAAATCCAAAAATTGTGAATGTATATATGAAATTGATAAAATAAAAATTTTTAAAAAAAATTCCTATAACAAATACAGGTCAAAGCCTATCAACAGCATGATTCTCTGGTAAATAAAATTTCATATGCTATCTGAAAGTTAACAAATATGATATGCTAGAATATGCTACAAATACATTTTCATCTGATTACAGTCTCTCTTGCTAATGAGCATCTGAGATATCTCACAATTGGTGATCCTACACTGCCATTAAGATCCATTAAATGCAACTATAATAAAAACAGGCTATTCTTATTTTGATAAAAACTAGTCATGTTGTATATTAAAATTTTCAGTATTGTACTATAGTATAAAATCTTCAAGCATCAAGTGGCATTGTCTTCAAGCATCAAGTGGCATTGTTAACATTTTATTCAAGGATACTGAGTGATGCAAATAGGAAATACGGTTAAGATAGGAGATTTCTTCTGGCAACAGAGACCCTCTAATTTGTTGAAAATATAATATCAATATCTTAATACAGTAGGATAGGATGCAAAAGTTCAAGGACAATATTTCTTTATACCATCTCTTAAATTTGTCACATGTCTCACAATTTCAGTACAAAAAACAAGCCAGGTATACAATAAAAAAAGAATAAAGTCTTCTGCTGAATCTCAATTTTAGGCTTATCATATAAATGTTGGAAATGTGGGTCAAATCAGATCACATGTGACATATCCTGTTACATTAAAGGAATCATTTAGAATTAAGAGAGTTCAATGCAATTCTTAAATCTGTCTTCTTCAATATGTACTGCCGTGTCCCCCCCCCCCAATTACTCTTCCAATACAGGATAAAAGTCAGAAAAACATATTCTATTTAAAATTCTTACCATTTCCAACCTGTGGGGCAATAGCTTCTGCTTCTGGCCACGGCGTGTTTTTAAAGAACCTTTCTGTTAGTTTGGTCCAACTGCAATACACATCAGTATTTAGAAAATCATGGCATGACTGATTATAATAAACCTATATAACAAACTACCACAATTTACATGACCCTCTCTCACTTTTTACCAACTCTACATATATAAAGATTTCCATGAGAAAAGTGGTAAGAAAGATGCTAAAGAAAAAGATTTTTCAGTGGTATATGCCATCATGCGAGCAGATGGCACATCACAATCTTGTTCTTTAGCATCTTTCTTACCATTTTTCTCACATCTGCATAAACTTTAATTATTTACAATTATATAGTCACAATTATATATCTCATTAATATTTTATCTTTTAAAATATAATTGAACCATAATAAGAACTATCCATACTGATAATTCTTGCTCTTTTCTGAAGCAAAAGAAATCCTACCTGTTTTCATAGATGTCTTGGATCTCATACACCTTCTGATCAATGACATCACTAGATATGCGACTGGCCTGAAGCTCATACACTTTCTGGTCAATCAGATCTGAAACAGTCTTATGAAAGTACTGGATAAAATTTTTTATCACTTCTGGAATCACCTGAAAGGTTTGCTGTTCATATTGCCGCTCATAGGCTAAATCCTGTTTTGGATCTCCTATGAAATACAAGATATAACAACTATATCAAAACGTAACATCAGGAAGACATAGAATAGTAACATTTTGAATCTAACATTTAAATGCATGCATCTGTTTTAGAATCCTCATTTTTAACAAAATTCTTCAAATACGAACATGGGAAGATGCCAGAAAGGAGGAATGAGAAGAGAAATGATAACCTACTGATGATGCCATCCATGCAAATTTCATTACTTGCAACAATATATTATGATGAAAATATATAAAAGCAGCATTCGCATGATGATATCTGTCTGTCTGTCTGTGGCTCATAGCCCATCACAGGCCACTCAACACTTTGGCAACATTAGGGTTACTGTGGAGGCTAACAAACATGAATATTGATGATGTTCGTCCATCATGTTTTAAAAGGATCTTGACATCTAACAAGTTGTAGGTTGTCTATGATGTATCCGCAGGTGGCTGGTAACATCTATACAGGCATGAAATGTTCTGCCACATGTCAGGAAGACATGTGTGGGCACCATTGTTGGAGCATTTGCGGCTCTGGTTTTGCGGATAAAATATATAATAGCAGCATTTACATGATGATATCTATCTGTCTGTCTGAGGCTCACAGCCCATCATAGGCCACTCAACACTTTGGCAACATTAGGGTTACTGTGGAGGCCCGCAACATGAATATTACTAAACAAGACAACCTAGGTCAGAGGAAAAAAAGTGTATAGAACAAGAGCAGGCATTCTGAAAGGCCCTCGAAAATGTTTTTTGCTGATGAGCTTGGGGATCCCATGAATTTGGAGACTGCTAAATGTGTTAGTTAACATTAGATGCATTCCTTGCATGCTTTGCTGTCATTCCATCTTATTTCTTGGGGTTTTTTTAACCTTGCTTTTATATTGCCTTTCTACTAATTTAAGTTGGGCTTTTTAATAGTATTGATGTGTTTTGTTCTACTATGGATGCTATCCAGCGTCACAATGTGAATTTAAGCCACAGTATTCTTGGTATCTAAGTCAGTAACATTTTTTCTTAATTAAAATTTGCTTTTCAACTGGCAAATTCAGAAAACATGTGGAAAGCTTTTTTTTCATATTCTTAAACTACCCGAAGAAGTAATTTGTTTTGAAAGAGAGTAATTGTCTATAATCACCCAAGTGAGTTCCATAACTGAGTGGACATTTGAATTGGATAACTTTAAAATACATGTATTAAATAAAATCTCATTATTCTTAAGCAAGCCAATCTGAATAAAACACCTACAATAGATTACAAGAATGGAAAGTACAAGAATGGAAATGCCTAGGAGTTATTTTGTATAGCCAGATTGTTTTAATCTCTAGTTTCCACTCCATTTTTTCCTACATTTTAGCCTACCACTGCAAATTAAAAGCAATTGGCAAAGAAACAAACTGGGGAAAAAATAAAGTTGCTAAACCAAAGATAGGTCAAAGTACTTTCTTTCCATAAGAGAAAAATATCAAAAGTTTAATAAAGCACATAGTTATCCTTTTTTTTTTTTTGCTAGAAGTGCTTTGAGTCCAGCCCACTTCTTTATTCAATTTCTAGCAAAAAAATGGATAACTATGTGCTTTATTAAACTTTTTGATATTTTTTTCTCATGGAAAGAAAGTATGTTGGCCTATCTTCGATTTAGCAACTTAAATTTTCCCCGGTTTGTTTCTTTGCCAAATGCTTTTAATTTATAGTCGTAGGTTAAAATGTGGGGGGGGGGGGAATTGTAGCACAACACACACCTAGGATAGTACTCTTTGCCTAACATAAATTCAAAGTAGGAGGACCATCAACACGAAAGTATACAGACTCACCTGTGTGTAAATCATAATCCCCTGTATAAGCATATGGATCGTAAGAGCCCTGCAAAAAGAGAGTGTGGGAAGGGAAGGCTTGAATCTGGTACAGATAACACAGTGCAACATATTTAATCGTTGCCCCCCTCCCTCTCATATGTGGACACCCACGGATTTGGAAAACAAGACCCTTCTTCTCGGCTTTGCTTTTAATGACAATTCAGCCTAGTAACCCCTCTTCCTTCCACTACAACAGGGGTCTCCAACCTTGGCAACTTTAAGACTTGTGGACTTCAATTCCCAGAATCCCTCAGCAAAGCAAAGCTGGCTGAGGAATCCTGGGAGTTGAAGTCCACAAGTCTTAAAGTTGCCAGGATTGGAGACCCCCTGCACTATAGGGAGGCGCCCGCCCATCCCTTTTATTCGAAAACGCCAAGCAAAACCATCCACGAAGGTCCCCTTTCCCACACGCCAATCAAGACCTCAGTGAATAAATACGTAAAGCTTGTACCTCTTCGTAATCGTCCACCGGGTACGACATGGCGGGCTTAAGAGCACGAAAAAAGAGAACGCACACCGCCGAACAGCCGACCGGGCTGAGAACGTTGCATCAAAGAAAGTCTTCCGGCAACCGAATTTGTGGAACTTCCCTTGTAAACCGGAAGCCGCCGTTATAAAAAGTCCGTTTGGCGGACAACTTAAAATACTGTAGGGCTAAGCGGGACCGTGTTAATCTGCTGCCAATGCGAAGAAGTAAACGTTCTACGTTTAGTGTGTGTATGTTATAGGCCTGACGGCAACCGCGCTTAAAAAAAGGAGTGTATTTGGTACAATACTGTTAATTCTGTTATGAAAGAAATGCGGGTTATAAATCTATTGACTAACAGATCTGTTAGATGAAATCAAAAGACTCCTAAAGCATTATCAGATCTTCAACATTGATCACCCAGTTGCAAGATCGCAAGCAGGGTAAAAACGTCACAAATTTCCATTGGTTTTTAGTGACTAGAATTGATGGGATTTGACAAATGAATAGAGCAACAAGTTTGAATGCCTCAATAACCACTACACAAGAATATTGTCAGTCAATTTTGTTTTCATAAAGCATTCATTAAATAATAAAACAAATTTCTGATTCACAATTGTAACTCAAATGAATTCATAATTACTAAGGAGGAATGGTGAAAACATATAAGTATAAACAAAGTTTAGCCACAGCTGAGACATTTCAGTACCACCGTTTTTTATAAAAGCATATTATTTGCCCCCAAAGAGGAGCAAAAGAATTACAGAATACTTGTTTCCTGAGAATGTTCCTGTACACTTTCAATAGGAAAAAAAAAGACCTAGGTCTACAGAGGAAAAAAATTAACAGAAGACATGACACCAAAAGTTAAATCTACTAAGTTTCTGCCCTGTGGGCTTCACTTGTCAGTGCTTAATACTACATTTATAACAACAAACTGCCACTGAACCTATATAAACCCTTTATTTTAATTTGAACAAGATGTAGACATTACAATCTAATGCCTGGAAATAATATCTTCTCTCAACACTGAGGTTTTAAACTTGTAAATATGTTTGTGTACTTTGTAGCTATGGCAGTGTGCTTTGCTGTTGTTTCATTTTTGGGGTCAAGTAATTACAGTATTTTCCCCTCTGAAATGCGGTGGCTCAGTGGCTAAGATGCTGAGCTTGTTGATCAAAAGGTTGACAGTTTGGCAGTTCAAATCCCTAGCGCCACGTAACGGAGTGAGCTCCTGTTACTTGTCCCAGCTTCTGCCAACCTAGCAGTTNATCTTCTTCAGGGTACGGTTCAACTGAAAGAGACAGACATCTAATTACAAGTTAACTGGGGGAGGGGGAGATAAATACCCACATAGTTAAGCACTTCAGTGTCATTGCCACAATTATACATTCTCCAAACAATTGTCTGCATCCTACCAAGAATGCTGACTGCAGCTGAATAAATCAAATCTAGCCCGCATGCAGACTGCTAAGGTGGACAGATTTGAGGTCAGACCACCAATGTATTTGTAAAAAGAGATGAGCATCTGCAAATTATACAAACTGTAAATGATTTTATCCAAATTTCTACTGGCAAAATTGTTAAGAAATAATCATTTCTGGAAAATGACTATTCAACTGCTAAAAAAAAAACCTAGAAAAAGAATTTTGGGGTTATTGAAATTGGGAGATTCATAGCAAAGATGGTGGTTGCAAAGAATTCATACTCATTCATCCAGTTGGTCATCTCAAAACTTTTTACTCTTGGGATTGCTTTCAGAAACCTCATTAGACAGTATTATTTCATCTCCTACATCATTTTCCAAATTTTTATGCTATATTATGCATTTCTAGAGACTTCCTTATTCTCTCCTTCACCAATCATGTAATTCCCACTCATGCAAATGTGACCAACTAGTTATGTATTCTGAAGGTGAGTCAATATACTACATTTTATCTCCTAGTTGGTGGGACGCAGGGAATTGTGCTGTATGTGAAATGTGCAGAAAAAATTTAAGATGTGATAGAGATAGATATGGAGAAAGATTATTCCCAATTATGATATTAGAAAAGCCACCCAATAAAGTGATGAGATCAGAATCATGGAATGTTTTTATTATTATGGAGTATTAACTGCTGATTATAATCAGTGTTTGCTGCAATAATCACAAGTGTAGAAATAAACAGATTGCTTAGCAAATGGCTCAGTAGTTAGAGGGAGGATGTGTGATATGACCTTGATTGTTTAATGCATTTCTAAAGAAATGTGTAAGGAATGCTTTGTTGCATGTTGTTGATTGAGAACCTGAATAATTTCATCAAATGTTAAATTGTATGGTGCAGCAAAATTAAATGAAATTTTGCAAAGAAAACAGTGAACAATGATGAATGGCAAAATGGGGGAAAATAGACCAAGTAGATGAATTTTTGTATCGTAACAAATGCTTAGATAGGAAAATGTAGAAATTTTAAGATGTGTAAATACTAGGAGAACAGCACTGAGCAGTATAATCTATTGCAAGCAATTCATCAGAAATAACAAAAATAGCTGCATAAAAAGTGTGCTTCTGCCCACTTTGTTATATAGGAGTGAGATTTGGATATATCAAGAGAAGCATAAAGCCGAATAGAGTGGGAATAGTGTACTTAAATATATGTGATAAAACAAGGAAATAATTAGAAATGAGTGGACACAATAAGAATGTAGATTAAATATAAGAGACCAATATGTTGAATTGGTTTAGCCCTATAGAAAAAATAAATGATCATCAAATTGCAGGTAAAAAATAACACATGGGTTAAGAGAAAGGGAAAGACTGAGAAGAAATTAATAAAGTCCTGAAAAAAAACACCAGAATAACAAAAGGCATGCGTAGATATGATGGAAACAAAGATGGTTTGTATGTATTTTGAAAGGGAAAGGGAAATGCAGAAGTGGTGATGATATAAATTAAAACCAGCTGCTTCCTTTCTCTTATTTTAGATGTTTCTTTGGTTTATTGATTCTTATTCCTTTCAGCTCCTTACACAATGATGAACCTGACAGGGAACAACATAATGGGCATGCATGTATAAAGTTGTAAGATTTTTGTGATCAAGAAAACCAACAGAAAGTACATATTACAGAAATTAATATTTACCATTGCTCAACTATATACAATATATTCAAAATAATTCAGCCATTTCTGTTTAAATCATTTGTTGTACCCATTGCTTGACAGTCACTGCAAAAATAACTCCAACTGGCTGTTGTAAGTCACCTTGTGATCTTCATTAGACAGCCCAAAATTAGCATTTTCAAAATTAAATTTGCCTGGCATTATTTGTAACATAAGCTGCTTATATCTTGGCAAGCCTCTGCAAAAAAAGTTGCAGTCTAGGAGAGCATCCTTCACCGACTCTGACCTTTCATTCTTATGAGGGCAAACTCTTTGTGCAGTAGGGATCCCCTGGCCCCTACTTTTCAACATAACTACAATCATGCCACTTAAGGCAATATGATATCTACAATGGCTAGGATTAAGTAAGGCATCTGAAGAGCAGTTATAATTGAGGCCATTTTAACCATGCATTACCATAGTTAGCCCTTATGAAGCTGGCTGGTATCTTGGTTTTATTTTTAAAATAATGATGATCAAAGTGCACCACACAACTCTGAACAAACCTTGTATATACAATTTGTTGATTACAAGTAATTAGGAACTGAATTCTGGTATGATGGCAAAGAAGAGTTTTAGAACTCTCCATTCTTGCTCTTCTATCCAGAATAAAAACAAAGCAGGCAATTCAAGGAGGGGGGAGCTGTTCACCCCCTCCATGAGAGCTTGCCAACTCCCAGCAGTCTGACGATCTTTGAGGGCTTAATCACAAGGCAGCTTTACATGATGCTCATCTGATAGCTTCCCTCTATTTTTCCACCATGATCCCATGTTAAATGACCTCAATAGAGAGTACTGAGCCATTTCAGTTTTTTTAAAAACAAAATAGGAAGTAGGGATAATCATTTTACTTACACAGAGAGAGACATCTTTACTCCTTTGGATAGATTGCTGGGTAATGCAGTGACCTCTTCAGGATGGCTAAAACAGCTATATTTTGCTCTCTGGGTGGCAAAATGCATGGGATCTTTCTGACAACTCCCTTTTCTCACAGAAAGAGGGCAGCAATGCAAGCAATTGCTTCATTTTGGGGTTGCATACCAATACCGTTTGGAATAACTGGTGCTCTTTTAATGTTTGACCACCTTTGTATGGAAAGAAGCCCAGAATGAAGCAAGAAATAAGTGTTTTAAGTTTCATGGCCACCAGGTTTTGGAAACAATGCCATTTATTTGCTAATAAGTTTCTCCTGTGCATTTATCCATTAGCTTACCTCTTCAAACTTATGAATCTGACGGATGAAGAAATCCCCATAGCGCCGAGCAACTTTTGTATCTGCAATATGGATCATGTCCTGCCAAAAGGCAAGTAGAAGTTAGCAACATATTCAGATTCTGCTAGGAGACATCTGCTGGGTATTATGTCTGCTCTAGGCTGGGATTAGGGTTTTATTTTTATACTGCCTTGTATCATGCTGAAACATGACATGTTGGTCCAAATTAGGATTTGCTGTCATGAAAACAGACTTGTCATGTTACCTGATATTATCTTAGGCTGGATTTAGTCTGTTTTAGTCTGTTTGGGGGTTTCTACCTGAAGCTCATGCCCCTAAGAGAGGTGGCCTAGTGATCTGGTCTCACAAGAGAAGGGCTTCAGAGAAGGGATTGCCCCCCCCCCCTACTTCTATATGGCCCCTGAGAAAGAGTCAAGGCAAGGGAATGTGGGAATGTCTCATTTGTATATCAGTTTCCAACACAGATTAATCTCACGTGTATAAAGGAACTCAAACCCAAGAGAAGATGTAAATGAGTTTGATGATACATTCTAGTTGTTGGAATGTACCCTGTTGACTAGAGTTCAGTACATCTAAATAGCATCAAGTTCAGGTACTATGTACTATTGTCAGAAGGGTTGGAGAAATGTCAAACCTTGTCAATGTAGAAGTCCACCTCAGAAGCTGACTGGAACTCTCCATCCAAGGCGGAGATGCCACTTGTCCAGACCAGGTTTTTCATTTTGTGTTTGAAGACCAGCAGTTGGATGCAGAATTCCTGCTCTGTGAGGTCCAAGAAGCCAGCCAGTTTAGTCACAGGCATAGTAGTGTACAGTTTTAGGAAACTGCGAATGGTGGACAGCTGAGCTTGCTGCTGGACTTCATCAGCAAAGACCTTCAATTGCTGCAGGTATGGTTCCTTATGATAATTGGGATGCACATTGTCGTAGTTGGGTACTACGGGCGAAACAAATTTGGGACAAGAATAGCTGAACAGCTCCTCATATACCTGGGGGTCTCCCTTCTGCATCCGTAGCATCTTATCCCCATATTTCTCTCTGAGCTGCAGGTGAATGCTTTCATCAATACGCATTGGATACATGGCAAGAGCAATGGCCAGAAGAGCATGCATCTGCTCATTTTGCTTGTTAATCTGAAAAATAAACAATTCCCGTGAGAAACATTAGAGTTAAGTTACACTTCACATCTAAGAAGATATGTGTGTAGCAGCTACTTGCCAAGTAGCACACCCTTAAGTCTCACTTTTGTCATGAATGCATGGGTAGCTTTCCAAAGTAAAAACTAAGCAAGCAAACGTACACTGACACACAAACTGAAAATAAAAGCTGCCCTGATCCATTAAGCTCCCTGAACATAGACAGTGGCATCATTCTAGTTCTGCTTAATAGACCAAGTCCTTTGGATAAAGGGATTTTTAAAAAGCGCTTTGAAATATACATTGTATGCTTTTGGTGTCTTTAAATAAGTCACTATTTTTAAGTCTCTTGCCTATTCTTGCCCCCGCCCCCTTTTAAGGAACACTTAAAAAATAAAATCCCAAAGAGTTCTCAGCTCTTTGAACATTAACTTTGAAGACCAATCTAATAAGGAAAGCTGTCTATGAGAATTCATGACAGAAGTGATTGCCATATTTAAGAAAATAACAGCAAGAATAGGAGGAACTGAGATACCAACTTAAGCATATGCTGGTAGGAATTTCACCAGACAGGATATAGTGTATTTTTTGGAGTATAAGATGTTCCAAAGTATAAGGCGCACTTAGCTTTTGGGGAGGAAAACAAGGGGAAAAAGATTTACCTCTCAACAAATTGCCTCCTTGGAGAAAACAGCAAACAACCAGTTTCAGTTTCAGCACAGCCTGATTAGCACAAGCAGCTGATTGTCGGGCCTCCTTATGATCAACTGTTTCAGGCTGCAAAGATTGCCTTTGCCTATTGCCGCCTCTGCACCCCCATTTTCGGTCTCCGCATGCCCCGTTTTCGGCCTTTCTGCATCCCGTTTTCTGCCCGTTCCAGGGATCAGAATGGGCCGAAAATGGGGCGCACAGAGGCTGAAAATGAGGCGCACAAAGGCAGCAATAGGCAATGGCAATCCCTGCAGCCTGAAACAGCTGATGGGGAGGCCAATCCAACTGACAATCAGCTGCTTGTGCTAATCGGGCTGTTTGCTGCAAGGAGGCAAATTGCTGGGAGGCAGAAGCCGGCAGGTGGACGGGGCTATATTTGGTGTATAAGACGCATCCAAATTTTCACCTTTGGGGGGGGGGGGGGGGGGAGTGTGTCATATACTCCAAAAATACAGTGCATTAACAAAGAGTATAAAGGTTTGCACCATTCACAGTAAGGATCTGGTCCCATAGAAACAAATTTTGAAAAAAATATCACTACATGAAAGGATGGGAAAGTAGAGAGGGCATCAGCAGCACAACAGCAGACTAGGGAAATAGACACGTTAAATCAAATTATCAAAGTGTCCAAAAGTGAAGACTGAAGTTTGATATACCTAGGGCAAATGAAAACGATCAAAGAATTAATACTCTCCTGAAAGATTTAATCAGTTACATACTGGATGCATCTGGCAGGAGCTATTGATGCCAGGAAGGTAAATATGGCTCAGCTAAACCAGAAAGCATTTGTACATTTTTAAACAAATGACTTGAACTGAAAGCTGAAAGCTGGGTACAACATACTTCTTGATATCAGTGAAAGAGATACTGATAGTATTGGGCTGAAAGAAGATCACTGGCACTATTTGCAAACAGGAAAGAATTGTCAAGGAGGAGAGAAGCCTTTCTACATTTTACCATTTCATATTTGTAAGTTGTTCTCTGGAACATGCTCTTGGTCCTCTGAATATAAAGCAGAATATTAGCAAAGACACGGATTGCATCTTGGTAGCGTCGCATCATGAAGTATGCAAAACCAACATAGTAATAGGTGGTAACCTGGCATTCTGGCACTCGTGAGTACATGCTCTGAGAAGGGAGAAAGGAGACATTGCTCAGCACAGGAGGAGTCAGGAAAGAAATGCTATTAGGTGCTACAAAGAGTGAATAGCGTCATTCCAAAGGCTATAATGTAAGGACTTGGCAGCATATTTACGATTAACAAGTAAGCCCAAAATTTCTGTTGCTAAGCAAGACAGTTGTTAAGTGATTTTTGCCCCATTTTACTACCTTTCCCCCCACAGTTATTAAGTGAATCTCTACAGTCATTAAATTAGTAATCCGGTTATTAAGTGGATCTGGCATCCCCCTTGAATTTGATTGTCAGGTCACAAAAGGTGATCACATAACCTCAGAACACTGCAGCCATCATAAATATGAGTCAGTTGCCAAGTGTATGAATTTTGTTCATGTAACCATGGGAATGCTGCAATGGTTGTAAGTATGAAAAATGGCCATAAGTCACTTTTTTCAGCGCTGTTGTAACTTCAAACAGTCACTAAATGGACTGATGTAAGTTGAGGACGACCTGTACTGCTCTATAGTATCTCTGAAGCACTGCAGGAAGCAGAGCACCTCCTTATTCAATCTTACTGAAGCATTTTAATCCTACAATTTTCAGAGAGATAGGCCTGTTAAGTTCCTTGCAGCAAACATAAGGAAGAGAAACAAGAGTACCAGTGGTGGGATATGACCAGTATGCCCTGGTACGGGCGTACTGGTGTCTGCTGGGAGCACCAGGTACAGTTCTGGTACGGTGCTCCGGAGTGCCCACCTGCCCTCCTTACTGGTATTTGAGCTGTTCGGGGCTTACGCGCATGGAGCCTACGGCGCCTGCTTCCACCAAACAGCTGGAACATTGCGGAGGCATCGTGGAGCATCACAGGCGGTAAGTACACATGTGCACGCTGCGTGCATGTTGCGCACGTTCATGTGGTGGACACCCAGCCCCGTTGCACTGTACCGGTTGCAACGGGATCCGGAACCCTCCACTGCAGAGTACCTTAAACTTGAGCAACAAGATGTTGTTATTTTATTCTATTTAAACCAATCTATGATTTTAAAAGCAAATGTATTCAGCATTTTTAACCCAAACTTGTTCATATATATTTTAAAATAGTTATCTTCAGCTAGCTGGCAAAAAAAAGAGAGGCAGAGATACACATTTTTCTCTGATTAAAAGGTACAATGTAACAATTTCACCATTGTAGAGATCTCCTATTACAGCCTTCCCCAACTCTGTACTTGACAGCAAGTAGCTGTCAAGGGAAATCATGGCAATCCTGTGTGAAATCACAGGGACTGTTTATTTTCAGCTCAAACAGAGCCCAAATTAGATGGGGCTATATCTACTGTATACAGATTACTGTTTTTCCCCATATTCGCTTGTTTATAATATACAATTTATATGATTTATTTGGAATCAAGGGAATAGTAGATTTATAGTAGGGGAATAGCAAGGGGAAAGTAGATTGGATATAAGGGGAGAAGCACAGCTAACAGTCACCAGAGAAGAAAAGAACTAATCTTGGAATATGCATTAATTTTCTAAATTATATTAGCGTTAAATATGGGTTATAGCTTGAAAAGTACCATTTTGTATGAAATGCAAAACTTGAACAGTAACAGATGGCTTAGTATTTAAATGCCTGAGAATATAAAAGCAACAGAAACTTTTAAAGAGACTCCACATCTCTTTTCAGTACAAAGAATAAAAGTAAGTTGGAAATCTCATCGTATCTGAGACATTCAACAGGCTCAACCTGACAACTATTGTTTAGAGAAAAAATATTTTGCAGAACATTTAGCATCCTACAAAGCAAAATCTATATATTTATATAATTATAGCTGTCCAGAACCATATTCATGAGATGGATGGTGATATAAATCCATGCAAATAAATAAATATTCCAGAAGGGAAATGTCCTCTTTAAAAAGTGCAATTTTAACACAAAAGTGGCTCTATTACCTTCTTGTTAAGCTCAATATTTTCCAGAACCTTGATGGCTTGATAATAATCACCCAGCAATGAATGGAGGCGCAGCAGGCCCACAAGGCTAAAATAGCCCAACATCTTATATAAAGAATGACGACCGTATTCTCCAGCAACACTCTCAGGATCACCTAAGGTGGGGAAAAAATTGAAACTATATATGTGAACTTTAATGCAACAGTGAATTAAAATGCAAATTTCAATCTGCCAGCTTGATTCCTGATCAGAATGAAACAGCTGAAGACATGATCAGAATGAAAATTGCTAGACCTTCCTCATGAATAAATTACTAGATAATTATTGATAATTGATCATGGAAAAGCCCACTCATTTAAAAATATTTATTTCCTTACCTCCACTGGTATAGACTTCCAGTTGCCTGTTGATGTTGGATTTGTCCACTATGGAATATAACACATTAAGAACACTGTGGACATTCCAGATCTTAGGATTTAACCTCAAGAAATCAATTTCTTCCTCAGATTTCTTCGCAGTCTTGCAGCGATACTGACTGTAGGACTGAAACTTTACAAGGATATAGAGAATGCAAGAGAAAATTAGGATGGTATTATTTTCCTCCTTGGATTTTTTTTATATAACCAGAATAAAAATGAAATGACTGAATAAATTGGAATTATCCAAAGACAAAAGGGAGAAAGGAAGAACAGTTCATCAATGAGTACCAATTTTATGTTGCATTTAGTTTGCAAAACCAAACTAAATACTATTTTACAAATGAAAATAGTAAAGTTTCCTCAGTGCTAATTAGAAACCAAATTGTAGCTCTAACAATTTGTAGGAGGAAAAGCAAATCATGTGAGAACCCTGAATAAAATTACAACTCATCATAAAAATATTATTCAAGTCACTAAAAATAGGCATATTTGTATCCAAAATATCTATAGTATATGTCAAACAGAGCTGGCACAAAACAGATTTTAAATTCTGTTGAGCACACAAAATTCCATACAAATTGCAATCTTATATACCTGTATAAAAATAAACCCTTCTTTCTATGCATATATATATATATATTTGGATATCTGCAGTGTTCCAAGACCCAAAAAGAAAAATATAAACATTCCAACCACAAAGCTGCTGGAAGTCTTACTGCTTTGGGAAGTTTTTTGCAAATTACTTGCATGCTTAGTATCTGATTCTAGTGATCTTTGTAGATTTTCATCAGTGTTAAAAAAGGCATGTGGAATAGATATAAGAGAACAATCCATTTTTATACCTGATATATAAATTCATCTATAATATCCCAGAGCCACTGATTGGGTAGTTCTAGAGGAGCTGGGCCATCTGCATCTAGAAAGGAACATTCAAATAGAATATATAGAATGAATAATACAAGACAAAGAGTCTATATGTCTTTGTTCTCTCCACATCTTACCGATAAAATAATTAAGAGGAGATCCTGGACTATTGACTGAGCAGTTCCAAAAACAAGTTAGAACCTAGCTTTATAGCATTATTAAACCATTGTGCATTGTGCGAAAACCCTTCATAATGTAATTTATTTACAAATTTGGGGTGGGGGTGGGGGGACACTATACATTGCTGCATTTTCTAACAGAATTACTTTTAATCCAAATTAGATCCCACCATTAGTTAACGAACACTGAATATTTACTAATTTAACAGCTTGCACTATTGCTTCTTGGTTTAATTTTACACGCTTGTATTGTTTTCTAGGCATTCTAAGTAAACACTATATCATAGCAGATCATTTCTTTAACAGAACGAAATGTAAAAAGGAAAAGAAAAAAACCAAACAGAGATGTAAAAAAATCAGAATAAAGAAAGGGATTTTTCTTTTAAAAAATGAAGATATACAGTACTAACAAAAGGAGTCAGAGAGCTTCAGAAGGCTTCTGGGAAAAACACATTTGGGAACAGAGTTATATATTAAGATGTTAAATTGAATAAATGCTAATATAAAAGATATATTCTTATTACCCCTTGTACAATACAAAGAATTATATAATTTTAAAGACTCACTAAGAATGTAGTTGAAGAGATTACAGTAATTGTAATAAGATTCAAATCTTTGTTCCAGGGTTGGGCCACCCTGCAATAAATGAAGAAAGAGTAAATAGTTGTCTGAATTTCTAAAATGAATGAATATATGGTCTCAGAATTCTTAGCAAACAGTGAACAAAAAATAAATGTATTTTTCACTAATGACAATCTAAACCTGATACTCACACTGACTTTAGCATAGATGTGTCTGTAATACAACTCCTTGTACAAAATCAGGAACACAGCATCTACAAGTAAAGAAAATGTATAAATTGTTGTGTTTGTATTTGCCTTTTCATTCAATTGGTTTTCAACTTTTCATACAAGTGAAAATAATAAAATATATCAGAAATCCAAAAATTGTGAATGTATATATGAAATTGATAAAATAAAAATTTTTAAAAAAAATTCCTATAACAAATACAGGTCAAAGCCTATCAACAGCATGATTCTCTGGTAAATAAAATTTCATATGCTATCTGAAAGTTAACAAATATGATATGCTAGAATATGCTACAAATACATTNTCCCCTCTGAAATGCGGTGGCTCAGTGGCTAAGATGCTGAGCTTGTTGATCAAAAGGTTGACAGTTTGGCAGTTCAAATCCCTAGCGCCACGTAACGGAGTGAGCTCCTGTTACTTGTCCCAGCTTCTGCCAACCTAGCAGTTCGAAAGCATGTAAAAATGCAAGTAGAAAAAATAGGAACCACCTTTGGTAGGAAGGTAACAGCATTCCGTGCACCTTTGGTATTTAGTCATGCCAGCCACATGACCACGGAGATGTCTTCGGACAGTGCTGGCTCTTCGGCTTTGAAATGGAGATGAGCACTGCTCCCTATTGTGGGAAACGACTAGTACATATGTACGAAGAGAACCTTTACCTTCACCTTAATTACAGTATTTTCCCCTCTGAAATGCTTTTTCTATTTTTGCTGCCTTGAGTAACTTTATTTCTTACAAGTTGCACACGTACTATATTATCCTGGGTATAAATGAGATTTCTAACGAAATGTTGGTATGCATTCTGCACTTCTGTTCAGGATGGTACAGTAGTTAAAGCCTCCCCATTTGCAGATTGTGGTTTCACTTCCTTCCCCTGAAGGAGTAGCACCATCCTTTTCTGCTACTTGGGATGTCCAACTGCCCTTCTCCCTTTTCACGTTCAGATACCTCTTAGGTGTAAGGTATGCTGTTTTTGCCTATGTAAAAAGGCACATATATGAAAGAGCGTTTTATTCTAGGCTATAATGCTCATACCCTCCCCAAAGGGCGTGTTGGATTGGACATCATCTTCAGCCAGTAATCATCGCCGACTGTGAGCACCTTTCCAGGCTTGCGCACAAAGGCATCTACTAACTACAGTGTTCTACTTGGCTGTAGACGGAATCCTCACCTTTAAGGAAAGGATGACGGAAACTCTTTTGGCCGTGGGTGGGGGGAGTACGCTCCCTTCCCGTCATTCTTAGCCCGTCGCTTACGGCGACTGACCGTTCCTATTGGCTGCTACTTACCTTGTTCCCGTCCTTTCGTTTCCATGGTTACGCGAATTTCCCCGCCTCCCGTCAGCGAGCTTGGGCTTTCTGGGCCCGCACTTCACGCGAAGGCTCGGAGAAGCGGGGCGCGGGGGAGGGAGGGGGCGGGAGGGATGGAAGGCGGTAGCCCCGGCGAAGCCGGCCCGGCCGACGCCGCCAACTTGTTTTCCCTGGCGGGTCTTGGCGTCGCCTTGCGGACCATCCCGGAGACCCCGGATCCGGCTGCTTTGGGCTACTTGCAACTACCGTGGCAGAGGGAGACTCGCGTGTGCAAGATCATCAGCCGCCGCCGCAGGGACGCCCGGCTACACCGCAAGGGGGACCCTCTAGGCAAGGAGATTCACGGTGAGGGGCTGGCTGAGGGGCTAGGCGGGAGAGGGGCGGGTGTGCGTGTGCTCTGTTTTTACGGAGTGACCGAAAGGCCGTCCGTTTGTCCTCTCCTTATCGGACCCTAAACTCGGAGGAACCGCCTGGCTGAATTGTCTAGGAGCTTAACAATAACAGAGTTGGAAGGGACCTGGAGGTCATCTAGTCCAACCCCCTGCTCACTCAGGAAACCTATACTAGGGGTTCGAACTGCCGAACTTGCCACAGTGGGTCTGGGGCTTTGTCAGGAATTTGGAGCTTTTACATGCTTTACTGTATTGGGAAGGCAAAGGCAGTGGGATTTTGCTGTCAAATGCAAGTAGTCCTCGACTTACAACAGTTTGTTTAGTGACCGTTCAAAGTTACAAAAGTTACCCTTTAAGAAGTGACTTATGACCCCTTTTCACACGACCATTCCAGCATCCCCGTGGTCACGTGATCAAAATTCAGATGATTGGCAAGTGGTTCATATTTATGACGGTTGCAGTATCCTGGGGTCATGTAATCAGCTTTTGCAATCTTCTGACAAGCTGAGTCAATGGGGAGACCAGATTCAATTAACAGCCATGCTACTAACAACAACTGCAGTGATTCACTTATAAGAAAGGACATAGAATGAGGCAAAGCTCACTTAAATGTCCCACTTAGCATAAATTTTGGACTCAATGGTGGTTGTAAGTTGAGGACTACTGTAGATACGGATAAAGGACTAAACACTCAAGCAAACATGCTTAGGCGTGGACACATAATTGTTCCCATGATAATCCAAGGCAGCCTTCCCCAACCTGATAGATTCCAGTTGGCGTTCATAATAATTGTCCAACAACCTTCCCTGTTTGCCAGGATGAAGGACAGGACTATTTATAATAGCTCCTATGTTTTGGAGCAGACTGCTCCTGGCTGGATGCTTGGCTTATTTCAACAAGCCAAACCTCTCGCAAGAATTAATTGTATTATTATGGATGGTATGATTTGTTTTAATTGAGGTCTTATGAACCGTGTTGTTTTTCTCTTGTTCTGTGCCACCCAGAGCATGTTTGATTGGATTGCCTACAAATATTATGGATAAATAGTACTGGCTGTATAAAGGAATTATCATTCATGCATGTAAGGCACTGATCCAGATTGTGGTTGATCTTAAAATTGTGGGTGGGCGAGAGAGAAAAATGAAATACAAGCATGGCTCAATGATGTACATTTGAAGTAATTTTGCCAGTCAGACCTGAAATCACCAGAATTCCTGATTTTGTATTAAAAGAATGAACGTAGTTTAAATTGTGAATAAAATGAGGTAGCTTGTGTTATGCTATAAATTAAGGATTAACATATTTGTGATGAGTAAATGTGATCAAAGCAATCAGTATTAATTGCAACTTACTGCCAGGAAAATTTATAATGTATTGAAGCCTGATAAGTTTGTTTTGTTTTGTTCTGTTCTGTTTTATAAATAGATAAGTAGCAGCAGAAATGTGGACACAGTTTGCTCACTTCTCAGAGTACATTTTTGAGGAGGAGCAAATTGTGAAAACTTGGTAGATTGGTGCTCCTCTCTTTTCGGATACAAAAGGATCATTAATTCTTGAAAGATCTTTTCAGTCAAAATCATACCAAAGCCCTCAAATTACAAGAAAAGAGAAATCAAAATTATTGGGCTCTGCCCATCCAGGAACATTGTTGAAAGACTTCCTGTGGCCAACTAGCCTGTGCCCTATGTGTAAATGATTACCAACCCTTTTTGCCAAAGGAAGGAGAAGGTCTGCTTTGCTGCTGTTTTCACATCTAAAATGAATTTTAAGAGGTAAAAAAAATCCTACAAAAAGCCATGATATCCGAATAATTATGAGTCTACTAGCTAGAGGTCACATCACAGTTCCCTAGATATAAAACATTGCATTGCTGCCTTTCCCCAGTAGAAGATCACCCTTGAGAGAAGGAATGGATTGTGCATAGTAAACATAGTTAACCAAACCTGATGTGGTTATGTTTGTTTTGTTTTTTATAAAATTAAATTGAGAAGGAAATAACTCTCTCTCTTTCCACAGCTTTAAAAAGATTGAGAGAAGCTGCTAATTCAAATGATTTGGAAACAGGTAACATTGCATCAGTCAGAATTTGATCTATAGCACCATGTATTTTCCTTCTCTGATTGAGAAATATGGGTCTTAAACAATGACAGACTGTAAACAGGAACAGATTCTTTGAGGTGAGAATGTTCAATATAAAGTGTTAGATTCCTAAGAATTACATTGGAATCTAGGTTTTTACAAAAAGTATATTAGTAGCTTGGAGGAACCTTAGGAATTCCTGAAATGAGTCTGTTAACAAAATGTTAGTTCCCCCCCCCCCTCATTTCTATCCAGGTATTATCTTCTTTCATCTCCTAGTTTCAATTAAGTCTTTCCTAACCAGTTCTGTCTTATTGTAAGATGCATATACTAGTGGAGGCTTGTAAGTAATCCTCTCAAAAAATTGTTTATGGAAATTTTGGCTAGAAGAAATACAGAGGGTTAGATTTCAGTGCTTTGCTAGCTAACCCTCCACCTTCACTCTTGTGACTTCCCTAATTTCTAATATCTAATTTCTTGCCATGCAGTTCCTGATTGCCAATCAGAATTACATGATGGGTACATTTACTAGAAGTTACATTGCAGGAATATGAACTTTTTCTGTCTTTATCTCTGTTTAACCTATATTAAATATCCTCCTCCACCTAAACTTTAGCTAAAATCAGAAGAAGTTTAGATTTAAATTTGTCTGAAGAGTGCAGTGAGATAGTGGAACAGTTGGTACCGTGCCTTTTTTTGAATTGAATAAGGAAGCAACATTTAATAGCAGTAGACTTATAGCAGTAGACTTATATACCGCTTCATAGGCCTTTCAGGCCTCTCTAAGCAGTTTACAGAGAGTCAGCATATTGCCCCCAACAATCTGGGTCCTCATTTTACCCACCTCGGAAGGATGGAAGGCTGAGTCAACCCTGAGCCGGTGAGATTTGAACCGCTGAACTGCTGATCTAGCAGTAGCCTGCAGTGCTGCATTTAACCACTGCGCCACCTTGGCTCATAAATAAAAGTGTAGTTCTGGGAGAGACTATGTCCTAACTAACTGATGTCCAAATATAGATTAAAATTTGCATTTAATGTTTTCATTAAAAGAAATATAAATTTACATTGATTGTAACAATTACTATGTACAGTTTCTTTTTTCTTTTTTTGAATGCTTTATTCTGCTATTTCACTTTGAGCTTGAAAGGATGCTTACTTATGCTGATGCTGTTTTACTTACTGATGCTGAATTGCTTGGCAAGTATGGATATTGAAAATATCTGAATGAATTTGGGCATGTCTCTTATTTGTTTCTTCTAAAATAAACTTTCAGCATTAAGTATTGTTTCTTGAAAGTTTTGCAACAATGTATATTGCATTTTAAGCCAGGATGCTGATGGTGACTTTTAGCCAATTAAATCTTCAGGTTATTAATGCTTCCTTTTCTTTCTTATTTGCTGGCATCAGTAATGCAACTTCTGGAAGATGGGGCAGACCCCTGCGCTGCTGATGACAAAGGTCGAACGGCCCTGCACTTTGCTTCTTGTAATGGAAATGATCGCATTGGTAAGCCAATTAAAAAAAGTGGGGGTTGGACTCTTACTTTAGATGCCACTTCACAGGGAGGTATTGATTATTTTCAAAAGCATTATTATTTGTAAATTTCAGCAAGGCAGTTCACTGTCCTTGCAGGTAGAAGGAAACTGGCCAGAAGTAATGGATATAGATCAGTGTATCTTAATCTTAGGAAAGTTAAGATGTGTAGACTTCAACTCCCAGAATTCCCCAGCCAGCTAGGCTGGATGAAGAATTCTGGGAATTGAAGTTGATCCATCATAAATTTACTAAGGTTGAGAAACACTACAAGATAGAATGAAATTAGAAGTGGAGATGCCATTATGAAGTATACTTCCTAAAACCATGTTTCACAAACTGGGCAACATTAAGGTGGGTGGATTTCAACTCCCAGAATTCCCCAGCCAGCAAAACCGAGTTTAAGATGTGTGGCTCGCTGGGGAATTCTGGGAATTGAAGTCCATCCATTTTAAACTTGCCCAGGTTGAGAAATTCTGTTCTAAAATGCAATATTGCAGAGATTGCCTGATGTCCAGTATAATTCTGAGAGATGCTGTGGTTTTATAAACAAGCTTTCGGTGTGTTCCTTGAAAAGTTTGGTTAAAAAAATAAGAATAGGAAAAAAAAACCAAGAACATAGGTTGCACCTGCAAATTAGGAATGACACCAGCACCCTTAATCAAAACTTTTCTATTGCCTTCTGGGACTTGATTATTGGATAGAGGACAGACTCAGATAAGCTAATATCAGCTCACTTTAGTCATTTTTGGTTACCAAGAGTTGAGCAAAGTCTAAGATGGTGTCTAGTTTCAAAAATGGGCAGTTTGAGATGTGAGGGTCCATTACTCAACTTTACATTCTTTCCAAAGTGCCTGGAAGCCTATGAGTAATATTATGTGATATTATTCAATAAGTTGTACTTAAACTTTATTGGCCTATTTTTAGAGTCAGTGTGATTAAGAAGGAGTTGAGAGAGGTAATATTCTCACTGGTAAATCTATATTGGGGGAGGGGGCGCATGAGCAGTGATGCTTGTGTTGCAAAATGGCAGGTACTACTATGCAAGAAAAGCCTTAGCCCTTTTTATGGGTATACATTGCATGCAATGCAGGTTAAAGGAGAGTTGACCTTTGATCTCCTGATCATGTCTATCGTCTTGAAGCCAGTGGCCCTTCCATTACTTTTGAACAGCCCCCAAATGTGGCAGATTATTTTGCTGGCAATTTTGTAACTTAAGACAATGGGGCCCAAAGGTCCATTCATTAGTGCTTCATATGCAAGCTTGACTGTTTCAAGGGACATAAAAGCATCTTATTACAGAGACTACAGTGGCCTGTTCCATTAAAGTACTTAGGAAAAGAGATTGATATTGGTGAAATGCAGCTTAGACCGATTGCTTTCTGTCTCTAAGAGTTGCTATGAAAGAATGAATTCTGTAAACTATATGACCCTGGGCTAATATTTGGGATATTTCTATATGATATTCAAAGTGAACTTGAGAGACTCTTTCTTTGCGTTTTAGTGCAGTTGCTTTTAGACCATGGTGCTGATCCAAACCAGCGAGATGGATTGGGGAATACTCCCTTGCATTTGGGTAAGCATCATGTATCTGATTGCCTTCTCTCTCTCTCTCTCTTTCCTGAAAGAAATCTGCTGAAACGAAATTTCCTTCAAGTTCAAGCAGCAATAGCCCGGGACACATGGAATGGAAAAAATTGTTCAGAGTAAACCAGGAAATTGCCCATTCAAATATCAGCTTAGCAGAGAGTGAACATATGCAAACTTTTGCCTTTGGAACTGGGCCCACATCTGCCATACAAATAGCATAATATTTATTTTTCAGGACTAGCTTAATGTTTACTGTGATAATTTCTATAAAGTATATCCTAGCATTTTTATTTTAAAAGAAATTACATCTGGGTGTAAGCAGTTGCATATCTTGTATTTCAAAAAATTGGATTTCAATAATCTTATACGGCCAGTACAGCTACGTCTGCACCAAAGAACTTGTGATACTCTGTTTAATTTTTGTAGGTTCTATTTCTATAATATTCTTAACTTCTACTGCAGTATTTCTTCTAGCACAGATAGGATTTGGTGAGATTGCATTGACTTCTTTAATGTCATGACATGAAGCTGAGATCAAATTTCTCAGTTTGCATTCTTTGTTAGTATACCATATAGATTTGCAAAAGGAGCTTTATTGTATAAATAAAATTGTGATTCAGATCAGATATAATGTATCCCCACTACTTTACTCCAAAGCACTTCTTAGTTTTATGTTTTATATTCCCTCTCCGCAGCTGCCTGCACGAACCATGTTCCTGTCATCACCATGCTACTCCGCGGAGGTAACCTTACTTTTTGGCAACTAAAGCTGCCTGTTCTTCTGGTGCTCTTTCAACGTGTTTTTCTTACTCTGCATTTGCCTATTTCAGGAGCTCGAGTTGATGCCCTGGATCGAGCTGGAAGGACCCCTCTGCACTTGGCCAGGTCAAAGTTAAACATCCTGCAGGATGGCCTCTCACAGAGCTTGGAGGTTGTTCGCCTTGAAGTAAAGCAGGTACAGGAAGGTTATCCTGGATTTGAGGAGCTGCCAGGTGTTTTATATTTAGCAGTTGTGTCAGGGCTCCAAGGAAGATATTTGGGACTGAGGAATGTATGTGGACATAAGAGTTTGGTGTCAGTGGATTCTGAGACAAAGGCAAAGGTGTGTAAACCTGATTCCCACGGTAGACTAGGAAAGAAAAAATACATTTGGCTTAGAGGACTTCTAAGATGCAATTGGCCATTCAGATTAGTTGGATATGGCAGAGGTCTTGATGAGTCTACAAAATTTAATCTTTGAAAAGTTTTAGGTCAAGGAGTAATTATTAGGTATCTTTAGAAATCTTCTTGGAAGTACCATATGAACTTCCCCAGCAATTGGGAAAAAAGAAAATAGAGAAAGTAGAGGGTGGAAGATAGAAAAGTAAGGCTTGCTCTATTTTATCTGTGACTTGTTGCTGACACCTGGCCCCCTATAGCCAGGGTATTTTCTTCCACAGGCTTCAAAATGTTTTGGTGTGTGAAGGTTCCAAAGAATATTGCTAGTAAGATCATGAAGTAACCATACTGAAGAGAGCCAACCTACTTTCAAAAAATGTATAATCTGCATGGTTTTTAAAATACATATTATACTTACTTACCTTTTATTTTATTTTCCTTCTAGCTCTTTATAGCTATAGTATCTTTAGAATCATTTTACCAGAATGATACTTCATTTCTATTGTAATCCTTCTATCTACTGCTGGCCAAAATTATGGCAGTGTATTTAAGATGCTACATTCTGATATAAGCACACTAAGTGCATTTGTATAATAGTCACTGCAAAGTTTGGCCCTTCTGTTCACGTGGATCTGAAATATTATGATTTGGAAATGTTTGCTGTAGCAGTGTAGCTTTCTTTCTACTGTTGTCAGCATCCATACCTATAAAATAGAGATGAAGCCTGATCTAACAATAGATTTTTACATATATGCTTTACCTGCCAAAAATGGATGGAGTTTGATTGCATAGTTGTGGTCACTGTGTATAATATTTTTACTCATCCCATCCCTGCCTCCTGAATGTCCCCAATAAAACCATTGGTTAATTTTATTTTTAATCTCATATCTGTTGAAGGGTGTTGGGTTGCCTTGAGTTCATCATTGGTCATTTTTTGATGGTAATAGGATTAGTAGGTCAATATTTGTTTTAATGGTTTTTGTTGTTTGATTTTTGTTACGGTAATTTTTATATGGCTTTTTGTGTTTTAACTCTATTAGCTGTTGAAAGTCATATATGTGAAATGAGAGGCATTGTAAACTGAATAAATAATACTGTTGCCTTTTAAAAATAAAGTGCCTTGAGTCTCAGTAAAAAAAATAGTTTTATTCATTTACCGTTACATTTATATTTGGGTCTTATTTTTTTCTCCTGGGCAGATAATTTACAATTGTCTCTGTCCTTCCATTTTACTAAAAGTTTATAGTACTCTACAGATTTGCTTCAGAGGTGGGTTTTTAATTTAAAACTTTGGGTTTCTTTCATTGTTCGCTGCAAACTGCATATTCCCATGCTGTTCGTTTTAGATCATCCAGATGTTGCGGGAATATCTTGACCGTCTTGGGCGGCATGAACAGAGGGAACAGTTGGATGACCTTTGCACCAGGCTACAGATGACTAGCACAAAAGAACAGGTGAGGGATAAAAAGAAATTTTTGTACCAACCGAGCAGTTCTGCAACTTGAGAAACTGGGAGATCCAAAATCTATGTTTCATATCACTATGAAATACTTTTAGTTATTGGCAAAATACATATATTGCTTGAATTTAGGATAAATAAATTCGGAATACATTGGTATTGTGGGAGAGTGTTTTATTTTAAAGATATTTTAATGTATTTCGGGGCTATTTCAATAAATGAGATAGCTATATTGTTTCATCCCTGGTGGAAATGAAAATTTTAACCCATTTTTCATTTTTTGGAGTGAATTACAGGTCCCATTTATTCATGGGAATAAATGACCAATTTTGGTCCATTTGCTATTGCCGTTATAGGATGGTTTGCTGCTGCTGGATTTCAGCAGAATAATTGGGTTGAAGGACTTCAGCTGCTTCAAAAAAGGATTAGGCTGCAAACTGCCCATTTTTGTAGGATTTTGTTTCTTCAGGTCCTGTACCATCATCTCATGTGCTTCCCCCGCAGGTGGATGAAGTTACTGACCTCTTAGCCAGTTTCACCTCACTCAGCTTGCAGAAGCAGAAGATAGACCAGAGGTAACCGGCTTTAATATCGTCCTCCCACACCAAAGGAGAAGCCCTGGAAGAAAAGATAGCTGGAGCTCCATTGCAGGACTGCAGCATTGTTGTTGCCAGCATCAAGCATACTTTTCCTGCTGCTGCTTCTATGTTGAACGGTTTGAAACCATGAAACAGCAGGGACTGCCTTCAATATCCTTTCTTTGGGCCAAGGATTTTTGCTGTGCTGCCTTCAAAGGCATCTTTATTATTCTTTGTTTTAAGAATCAGGAATTATCTTTCAGTTAATGAATTGTGGTGGAGCTTCCCCTCTTTAAGGACACCACCCTCAGGAAGTAGTATTGAAGTCCTACAAGTAGCATCTTCAGTCTGCTCTGAATATATTTGGAGAAATGGCAGCTATTAGCAATTGCTCTGCTTTTAATACCCAGTATTTATGCACACAATTAGTGAGCCTATCTAGAAGGTGGCGAACTTAATTTACAATAAATTAAAAAAAAAAAACAGGTTGGGAATATTTTAAATGGAGAAAAGTTTGAAGGTCTAGCAATGTTGCCTATGTCCATTGTGGGGGGGAGAGGGGGGGGAGATTTTATTGATATCACATACATTTGTACACACATGCATACCTTAGATACATTCACATGGGCCAGGAATTTCCTTTATGCTGATTCTATTTCCTGAATTTTGAATAACAAAAAGGCTGATGTAAGTAAGTCCACACTCTGCCCAAGCTTCTCTGGCTGATATTATGTTAAAGGAGCAGAGCAAGAGTAGATAAAAGTCTTTGGCTGTCTCTTAGCCTGCTAGCACAAAATGACATTTGCAGGAGTTGGGTGATTCCTTTAGGGTCCTGCAGTGAGTTGTTAGATTATCAGCTGAATATTCTTATTGTGCCCTTTCCTTGGGCCACTTCCCTTTTTATCTCTGGTTCATGAAATTACTTGTTCCAGAAAGGAGGGGGCAGGAGGAAAATAATGTGAAGTACAATGGGTGACATGCTAGTTTACTTTCATATGCTGTTTTTCTTAATACAAAGGGCATAAATTTGGTTTACAGCTCATGCCAGATTCAGGTACTGTAGCAAATCATCTGCTTTAAATCAAAATATGTCCCACTGTCATAGTATGTAGATTATACTCAAATCAAAATATGGTTAGCTATGTTGAATTAGCCACAGACCTTATCTAGGGTAATGTAGATGAGCAGAGAGAGAAGTGTTTTCCCCTGGTGCCTGTGAGTTCCTTGAACATGTAAGACTTTTTTTAATGATGCCGTTTTAATTGGCTCTGGCTGAGCAGGTTTTGGAAATTCTGCTTCTTTTATGGGAAAGTACTTGCTTTTTCATTTTGGTGTTCAAAATGAAAAAATCCCTTACTCTGAAGTTCAGACAATTTTCTGCAACCATAAATTTGTTGAATAAGAGCTGGTTCAGAGGGGGAAAAAACCTTCAAAGCTGTTGTTATGTCCTAACAGGGTGTTTTGACTCTAACCAGCAGTAATTAAAAAGGAAGACGCTTGTAGCCATTCCAGCATCATCAAAATTCCAAGGTTGTTTTAATTCTTTGAGATTCGTATCTTCTTATGACTTTATTTTCTGGTAAATATGTAATGTTTGTGGCAGAAGAGTTACTGGATGCATAACTTTAAAAGAGACCATTCTTGGGTTTCCTGAATGCAGCAGCTTGGTCAAGGAATCCCGAATTCTTTCCTAAAGAGGATGCTTTAGTTCTGAATTGGTTCAGACTTTGCTAGAACTGTCACTGTGAATACAATGAACTTTATTCTATTATACAAGGAGGGTGGGAAGCAATTTTATCTTTTCAATAAAATTCTGTTTTGCTGTCAGAATGAGTTTGGGATGTTTATTCTTTCCTGCCTTTAGGTTGTTTCCCTTCCTTTTTTAATCTCAACCTACAGCCATCTCTTTACTAGAATTAACAGCAGTGAAATGAAATGTGACAGTGTCCTGTTACAGTGAGCCTAGAGGTTGTAATCTTAATGTAATTTCCACCTTTAGTATGTGACTGAAACCCCATTAAGTTCTCTCTGACTCTTAATACACTGGGAATGAGAACATGTAAACAGTATTTGGAAAAGAGAGGAGTTGATGCGGGCAGAGAAAGTCTCTCAGAATTGCTTGTTAATTTGTTTGATCAGGTTGTAAATAGGAGAGGGCAACATATAAAAAGCTATTCTGATAATTTGGAGAAAATGATATTATATAAGATCCCCAAAAACATGGAGGAGAAGGAGGAATGATAAAGTACACTTCTCAACAGCACAGCATAAACTATATGATGAGTCATTGCCTTCAACAGTGGGATGCACATACAAAAGTGGGGCTTGTGATAATATATATATATATTTGTTCTTTTTATACTATGACATGAATATTTCTTAAACATAATCAAACTTGCTGGAATACCTTACAGGGGTATGTGTAAGTAAAAGAAGCAATAATAGTATTTTTATACACTATAAGACTCCATTTTGTGGTTAAACACAATTTATTGGCATAATTTGTTCAGTTTACCCTATATGTTAAGCCATAAACCATGGCTCACAAACCACAATAATTGTGTTCATACATTATGCTAAACAAAGAGGAAACCATATTTTGACTTTTCATAATGTACAAATACATCTGATTTTTTTCTACTTATTATATACCTATCCCTATCTGAATATTTTGTAGATGAAATTTGGAGTAGAGTCTATCAAAGAAGCTCCATCTCAAGCTCTTTTGTAAGTGTGGGGAGCTGCTTAAAATATAGAAGGATTAGATTGAACTCACATATTGCATGACTGGTTCCTACTAGGTTAAGCAAACTACATGGCTTAATGTAATGTGAATCCCAATATTACTTTAGTTCATTAGCTTGGAAATACCACAATTGTAATACATTTGCTTCTGCATAGCTAAACTCTTTCGTAAACAGAAATCTCTGCATAAAGGATTTGCCCCAAAGTCTTACTTTTGGGGTTCCTCCACTACATAAAAGAATGTAAATTAGGCAAAGCCAATCCTTCCCCCATAAAATGTCTTCCAACTTTCCAAATGGATTTTTTTTTAACCATCTCTATTGCTATTTTGGCATAACGGCCGCTTTCTAATTTTTGTTTACCACGTTTTCGATTACTTTTTGGTTTATTGATTTCAAAATCAATCCGACCTACAGTATCATAGAAGAAACAGGTGTTTCATTTCTAACAAAACCGCCACGGTTACTTTGTCCACGGTGACTTTTCCTACCTGGAGCCTGTAAGTGTTCTGGGTTGTTTCCACATCTGCCTCATAGCATTGCCAAGAGAATAATAGCCAGCCCAGTTTTTGTGTATGTTTTAAAATGGCTGATATCATATCTAACAAGCACCTGATCATCCAGAATAATCTGATCATCACTCCATTTAGTATTATGATTAACTGTTGGGGAGAGATGTAATTACCAGGTGATCAAAGACTGTCATGGAGGATAGGCAGTGGTGGTTTTTTTTACAATGCAATAATTGGGAGGTATAGTGGGAATATTTTTAACAGATTTTTATCACATACACACCTCTCTCTCTCTATGCAAACACCTGCCTTCTATTTTCCCCACAACAAGAAGGCTGGGTTCAGATAATATTGTTATTGTTATTAGCTTAAAAGTCACTTTGCCAGCTTTCATGACTAAGGGAGACCTAGAAATCACATTTTCCTGGTTTCCATAGCCCAACACCTTAACCACTACACCAAACTGGTTCTTCTTAAGATCTCCTCCCATTAAAGCATAACTTTTTGCAGAAACAGCAACACGTGCAGCTATAATTCTGGAACAAATAAATGAGCTCCTTGGTTACTTACATATTTGAACAAAGCATCAGGCAAGTGTTCCAGAATCTCTTAATATATCTTCATCCTTTTTCCTGTTTCCATGTATCTATGTATATGTATCCATATTCATTATTATCAACCTCTAACTATGTGGGGGTTGGAGTGCCAGCAATTGTCTAGGATCTCTGTTTATTGTATAAATGGAAAATACTGGGTTATTTTCCTAGTCAAAAATGCCTCTAATATCTATATCTATATATCTATATCTCTCTATATCTATATCTATATAGCCAACATCTTAAAAAATCCCAAAGACAAAGTCCAGTGAGAAAATCAAGGAGTCTACGAAATAGCATGCAAAATCTGCCTTGCAATATACATAAGACAAACGAACAGGAGAATAAATGCATGCATCGCAGAACACAAGAACGCAGGAAGAAAAAAAGAAAAAACTTCCTCCCTTTTCCAGCACCTTAAAGCTACAGGACATGAAATTAATTTTGAAGGAACTAAATTAATCTCCAAAACTGAACCAGATTAACCTGGTTCCTTCAAAATTAATTTATTTAAATTAATTTGGAGTTTAATCTATTCAACAAGAGAATAATTATGGAAGTTATCAAAATAGAGAAACATCCCCACAACATGAATAAACATAACAATACCTCCCCCTACCAGACATCTGGAAACCAGCCCTGGTAAACAAATGAGCCCCCACCCACCACCCAGGCTGTTACAACACAAAACAACAACGGACCTACA